AGTGCGTCTGACTTTTTGCACCAAGGAGAGCGCCAGTCCTGCGGTTGGATGGTTGGTTGGTTATTTATTTATTTGAATGGCCTCTCCTGCCTCTCCCCCCTTTTTCCATGCGATCACTGGAACTGTTCATTCAGGATCATAACCACAACGGTAAAATCTGTGGTGTCTGGAAGCAGATTGGATTGATGCCGTTCATGGGCTTCTCTCCTTTTTTTTAGTTTTGTTTTCATAATTTGGAATCCGAGCCCTTGAACAATCAGTGTGGTCAGCGCACCTAAATTTACTCCACAAATTCCTTGTGGGGAATGAAATTCACAGTTCTTTGTGGGGAGAGGAGACACAGAGAGAAAGAGAGAGAGAGAGATGTGGGATGAGGTCAGAATGTTAGATTTTGGACAGCAGGCAAAATATCAGGCCTGGCCTCAGTTTATGTTGTTCTTTGAAATACACTATTGATGTGGCTGCATAATAATAATAATAATAATAATAATAATAATAATAATAATAATAATAATAATAATGACGACGACGACGACGATGATGATGATGATGATGATGATGGGTATGGTGCAGCTAGATAACAACAGTGATCAATTTGTGCAGGCTTTGCTGACTTTCAGGAAGGAAGTAGATACCTCAGTTCAGAAGTCTTGGTGGTGACATTTGTACTATCCCGCAGAGCTAATAAAAATGGATGGACTGGGCATGGAAGGGATGCTGCGTACAGTTGCTTATGGGCGTAGCAAAAATTTTGCTCCTTCGCAATTATACAAGCTGGAAATAATTTAAGAGGATTTGCGTCTGTCTCTGCATTATAAAAATATTAATCAGACCTCATTGAATGCAGGTGAACAGGAATTCTCCCCAGCCCCCAAATACATTCCCCATCCTCTTTGGAAGAGGTCTTACTCTTCTTTATGGAACCTTTGGAGAATCCATTTCCAAAGAGTTTAATAAAACATATATAGACTGCCTCACACTGTGAAAACTATTATTCCCCTGAGCGGAAAAGTGGTGTGCTCTGATTGTTAATGGCTTCTTTCTGTGACTTATAACCTTAAGCCTGACTTTGCCTTTGCTTTTTCAGGCCAGAGTGCTATTGTTTATCTTGGCTAACCCTCTTCTTGAGGTAGCAGTACCGGGGAGGCATGGCAGCTATATATTTTATTCAGTTTTATTTATTACAGTCGTTTCAGTAGCACTTACCCCTCTACCGAGTTGCTATCGGAGCTGTTGTTTTCCTTTCCATTTTTGTCTTATATTCGCCATGTGCACTAAAGTGCAGATGGCTTATTTGAATTCAACATGGGATGCAGACGGGTGACCCAGAAACTTTGGGGCATGATGGTCTCTCCAAAGCTAAGTGGCCTGCGGTGAAATGTTTGTTTATTTTTCATTCTACGTCTATGCACTATAAACAGCGATCAGCGTGAAGCAAATATCCTTCAACTGAATTATGCATAATAGATTGCTTGTCATTAGGAGAAAATAATTCCTCAAGTGCTGATAGATGTCTGATGGCGACAGCAAAAGCTTTTCACGATTGTAGTTTCCAAATTAGCTTGTATTATCTCTGAGTCTGTTAGCCTTTGTTTGTAAGAATGGTGGTTCAGTTACAGAGGCCTACCTGAATCCCCTCTCTGGAACACAGATAGGTTTCTACCCATGGGTTTGCCGTAATACAGTGGTGCCTCGCTTAACGGGCGCTCCATTTAGCGACGAAATCGCTTAGCGACAACTTTTTCAGAGAGTTTTTGCGCTTCGTTTAGCGATGGTCCCTATGGGCGATTTTCACTTAGCGAGGGTTCGGACCATGCTTCACATAGCGATTAAATTTTGGCCCCCTGTTTCGCTTAACGATGGTTTAAACAGCCTCATGTTTGCTGTTTTTTAAATGTTTTTCTGTTATTTATAAAGTTCAAGCTTACTGTTTAAAATGTTTGAAATAATAAAGTGCACTTAATAAACCCTTTGTTAACCAAATTTGACTTTGTTCTGACTCTTTTTTAATTGTTGTATTTTTCCCTCCATTGAGATACATTGAATAGGTTTCAATGCATTTCAATTGGGGAACCGCGTTTCGCTTAGCGATGTTTCCTATGGCGATTTTCGCTTAAGGACGGCAATTCGTTCCTATTGGAACGGATTATCCGGTTTTCAATGCATTTCAATGGGAAACCGTGTTTCGCTTTGCGATGAAATAGCTTAGCAGCGATTGTTTTCGGAACGAATTAACAACGCTAACCGAGGCACCACTGTATATAGTTTGACCCCCTGTATGAGGCATAAAGTTTACAGAGATGCTGTGTTCTGGCCTACAAGGCAGAAGCAGGTGAATCAGTCTAGGACCATGGACAGCTCACTGTGGATGAAATTTGTTTCAGGCCAGGTAGAACACAAGAGTTAAATCCTCACAAGGATGCTCTTCCGGCCAATAAGTGGAGTCCTCGAGTCAAGAGGGCTTAAGGAAATCTGCTTCCAAGTTTGCTCTACACCCTTTGAGGGGGTTGCTGGTGCTTCCAGAGAAGGCATCCTCTTCCTCAGACCCTGGGGGAAGCACGAATTGTCCCCGATAGCGGTGGGGAAAATGAGCTTTTTTGGACTGTTGGGTTCCTTCTTGGTCCCATGAAAATAAAGGATTTTGAGACGGAGAGGAACATCTTAGGGATACCATCTGTTGGCACCAGTTCCACATGGCTCCAGCCTCTGCAGTCATCCATCCAGCTCAGTATGGCCAGCCATGACGCCAGTCTTTCAGGAGGATTTAATAATAAAATTTCCTTGTGTGGTGCCATGAAAGCAAGAAATAGTCGCTAGTAAAAAAATCTCTTTTGGGAGTATATTCCAGAATTTGAGAATAGCGCGGGGGGGGTGGACTATTAATATTTTATCTTTGCTGATTTATTATATACAGTGGACCCTTGACTTACAGACGGCTTGACTTACAGACTTTTTGAGTTACAGACTTCTCTGGCCGCAAAATTTAGGTTTGACTTGCAGACTGAGATTTGACTTACAGACCAGAAAAAAACCAAAATGGAACAAAAACGGCCTGTTACAGGATTAATCGGTTTTCAATGCACTGTAGGTCAATGGAGACTTGACTTACAGACTTTTTGACTTGAGAACCGCCTTCCAATACGGATTAAGTTCTCAAGTCAAGACCCCACTGTACTCCCCTCACTGGGGTGAATTTTAAAAGTTACGCGAAAAGTTTGCCAATGGTAGGTTTGTGCAACCCACACACGCTGTGATAACAGAGACTGTTGTTGCCGAGACATCCAAAGCTGCTGCTGAGGGGCCTGGAGTGTTGGCCTCGAGGGGGCAAAAAGTGAGGGATGCTCAGTTGCATTTTTCTGTCGTCCACAGAGCTGGAAATAATCTTCACTCTTCAGATTTATTTTTTTTTTAGGCTTCTCCCCCAGGGCAGCCAAATGAAGACAATCTAGTGCGGGTTTTGCTGCCTTGCAAAGTGTGTGGGTTTTTTTTTTAAGGCTTTAAAAGCAAACCACCCACTGATTGAATGGTGTTTCTGAGATGCAAAGGCATGTTGGATACACTCAAGATATCGGGATAACACTTGCCTGACACCCCTGTATCCATCCAGCTGTTTCTGTCGTCTTCAGAATTCCTCTGAAAATCTGAAAGCTCTAGCCATATTTCCATTTTTATCCATTTCTTGCCATTTCTTCTTTTGCCTATGTAAGTAGTTTCAAGCGAGTGAATTATGTTCAAGTCATGTTAAGAGTTTTAGGCTGCGAGTGGTAGATCCAGGTCATGAGACTCATGATCTCAGATCAGTCTGACCTACCTCACAGAGCTGTTGTGAGCATCAGGTGGGGAAAGGAGGAGCCACCTACACAGCGTCAAACTCTTGGGAACAAGGATCGAAGTGGAGTCAGGAATTTAAAGTAATTCTCAGTGAACATGCAAGAGTTCAAGATCGCAAGAATGGCCTTTCTCATCCACAAATTACTATTCCTACAGTGGGAAGTCTGGAAGTGAAACTTTAATGCAACGTCACTGTCCCTCTTACGTTAACTCAGCACGCTAATCCTGATCTTAATCTATTTTGTTTTTAACAATAGCTTAATGGTTTTGCTGCTCTATTTGTTTCATTGTCCGATTTGTCTTACGTGATTGTTAATGGCTCTGTTCATTTTTTAACCAATGTTCTTTGCTGCCTTGAATATCGCTGCTACTCCAGTTGTAGAAGAAAGTGGGATACAAATGTCATACATAAATCACACTCATGATAGGAGCTTTTCATATCCTTATCCTCTGCAAATTTCTCTGATCACTGCTTAAATGCATCCAGATTGAAACCCGTCATGACACCGTAGGGTAGTAAATTCCACAGTTCCACTCCAGGCTTCCTTCTGCACGTCCTGAGATCTCCCTCAGTAGATGGCCCTGGATACTCAAGGGTCTTGTGTTTCAATCTGAGGTTGCTGTGGAGGTAATTGGGTTAAGAATGGAGGGATGCTGGGGCCTGCCCAGGGGATTCTGGGAAAGTTCCAGAGAGATGAGTTTGCACAGCACAAAAGCAATACTCTTTCGAGTTTGCAAGAATTGAAGCTGGAGTGGGTTGGAATCAGGCAAGGCTCGAGATTATATAAAATGAGCATGAGGTCTCTTGCAAAATGACAATAGAGACCAAAGGGAATTACTTTTATTACAGACGTGGTTAAGCTCTTTCAGTGGGCCTGAGCCAGCAAAGTCTAGCAAATAACATCCAGCCCTGTTCTTCTCGGCCACTCTGCAGTCCCACATCTGGGATTCTGCCCCTGTTGTTTTCCTGCTATATATTTTTTTAAAAATCGTTGATTTCAAAAATGAATCCTCATCCACTGGTCCTCTCAGGTGGGCGGGGGGCTGGAAGTTGTAGTCTTTTTAAAAAAGGGAAATTTCCCAAGTTCTAAGTATATTTGCATATCCTTTCTTGGGGAGAATCAGTATTTACAGACCTGTATTTTTCCTTGTTGTTCTCTCCTCTTGAGATGCTAGATAAGCTGAAAGATCGCTGGCTCCACACTGGCTTGTGGGAAAAGCTCGAGCTGATTAAGACGGTCATTGCAGAGCCCAAAGGAGGCGACAAGGCGGACTTTGATGCCCTGCTGCAGATCTACTACGACGCCATCAAATGTAAAGAAGGGAAAGGTGAGCAGCTCCAAGTCCATGTGCAGAAACTTGGAAAAATCTACCCGCTGAGGCTGAAAGTTAGATTTTGGGCAGAGATGGAGAATGTTTGATGTCTCAGGACATGCAAGTTGCCATCAGTCCCGGACGTTTGGAGCATCACACCCTTAATGTTGAAGGATGATGGAAATTGGAGTCCAGCAGCATTCGAAGAGCTGCACTTTCCTGTGCATACAAACAGACACACACACACACTTGCATGTCTTTTTTCAGTGTTATGTTTATATTTATAGATGTATCAATAGGATAGAATTTGAGATCTTCAACCAAGGTTCTGTCGCCTGTCTCACCACCCTAATCAGATAAGGGCTTTCCCTGCAGCAGCATCTTGATCATGGATTTCTCGGTCTTGTTCCTTTCTTACTAAGTTTCCAACAGACCGTCAAAACGGCATTATTCTGTCAGGCTTTGAATTCTTTAAAATTCAGATTTAAAAAAAAATTATTTGTGGTCTGTTTTCAAAAAGTGTTTTGTTTCTGTTCTGCCTTTCTTTTTGTTGTGTTTTAGTATCTTCCTGGGGGTGAAGTGGTGGACAGAAAAGATACTTAAAAAGTACTTTGAAATTATAAGTGCTGTAGAGGAGGGAGGCCGTAAGGCCATCTTTCCCAAGTTGGTGCCTTCTGGGTTAGTCAGACTACAATTCCTGAAGCGTGTTGCTAGCTTCTGAAAGTTGGGGGTCACCAGGTGCGAGAAATCTACGTCTAGAAATATTGGAAGGTGGATGTGGGGATCTTTTCAAGCAGCCACTTATCCAAAATTTCAAACTATAACATGATCCTGATGTTGAATTGCTTCTTTTTTTTTTTAAGATGGCGCACTCCTTATTGCTGTCTGCAGAGGAAAGGTTAGCGAAGGCTTGGATTTCTCTGACGACAATGCCCGGGCAGTTGTAACTATAGGAATTCCATTTCCAAATGTGAAGGACCTTCAGGTAGGACATGGACACAAATGTTTATCAAGTTCCAGTATTTTATTTTTCATACATGAATGAGCTGTGAAGACTATTTTACACTCCTGTGATTTAAAATCAATTTTCTACTCATCTGGCAGTTTATTTGTCGACCTGTCCTAGATTTATCTTCTTCTAACGGAGTATCTGTTAAACGAGAGACGTCACTGGTTTTGCAGGCCTTTTGAGGGATGGTGGCGGATCTACCAAGATAATAGTATACATCAACTGAGAATATGAAACAGTAATGGCAGTGTCATATTTCCCTCTTTGCTTTGCTATAGTCCTCAGAGTAGTTGGGATAAGATATTGCTTCCCAGTGTGTCATGGTGAAATATCCCTGTATACGTTGGCAGGATAGCTTAGTGGGTTAAGAGTACTGTACCTGGGTGTGTACGTCTGATTTCCACCTCTTCCTCCTGGGAGAAGAACCAGCCTGGGTAGCCTTGGGCAAGCCATGCAGTCCCAGAGCGCGTGCGCGCGCACGCACACACACACACACACACACACACACACGAAGAAGAGACTAGTAGACAGTTTCTAAGTACTTTATACTCTGGGAACCCTGGGAAATTCCCTAGAAGTCAGAAGCAATATGATAACATTTTTTTTAAAACCCCTTCAGTTCTTTTGAAGAAGAAAGGTAGGATAAAAATATTTTAAGATAACATTTTTTAAGAACCCCTTCGGTTCTTTTGAAGAAGAAAGGTAAGATAAAAATATTTGAAACAAATAATGATATTTATAATGATGATAATAATATTTATGGGAGCAACCAGGTGTTGAAAAAGCAATTAAAAGAGGCATTGACGTCCCTTTGTTCTAGACTCGTGGACAAGTTTCCTGACGGAAATATGGAAAGGACCGGCTCAGAAAGGGGGTGGGCTGGAGTGGGCCTACATCGAGCGGTGTGTCTGGGTGATGGATTTCCCACCTTGGTCGTGGGCAGGACTAAATGACCCTTGGAAGTCATTCCCAGATCTATATCTAGTGTGACTCCTCACTTGTAGAGATTCTGACAAGCCCACGGAGACTGGTGCTCATCATCTCTGGGTGCTTTTCTTGCTAGAATGTTGTACCCAAAAGATAGTAAAAGTGACCTGGTTTGTTTGCCTTCAAGTGTAAGATAAGAGACAGTCCCTAATAAATGTCTTCTTTAAAAACCCCAACCGATATTCGTTTTAGAGCCTGGATGGAACCACACATAAAGTGGGTTAGATTCCAACGTTCTTCCAACTCCGGCTTATTTTTAATAGACATTTGGTCCCCTTACTATTAATTTAATGTTTTTTAAGCAATTGACTATAAAATAGAAAAAGATGGCACCTTTGGTGTTGGCATCTTAGGTATCATTGAGCAGAGTTCGGGAGGCCTCCCTCCACCAACGCGTGAAAGTTGCTTTGTTCTTCCATTAAGACATCATGGAAGAAAAGGAAGATATTTAGAGCCTTGGTGCTTGCTTTTGTATATTATGGAAACAGATTACCCTCCGTAATCTCCAGCAGTTGGCTGTTACAGCTGAAAGAAAGAGAAGGCTGTGAAAGGGGTCCAGCGCAAGGCTCGGATCCTCTCCGTGGTAGGGAGTTTGGCTCCAGAGAAGCAGGAAAATGCCTTCTTGAGCCAAAAAAACGACTTCTTTGGCTGTGACCAGATTTCCTCTACTCGCCTCTGGGAATTTCAGTACAGTATTGAGGTAGGGAAAATGTGCTATTTGGAGCCAAGAATGTCCTGGTGAGTTGGGCTTGTGATTTACCGTTCTTACTCTCCAGGGCTTGAAAGGCAGCTCTGATGTGCAAACCCTTAAGCTCGTGTTCCCAAAGAGGGTTTATTCAATTCTACCTTTCTCAAGCATCTCTTAAAAGATCATAATCCAGTAAGAGGTACTTACAGCCAAAAGAAAGGGAGGCAGTACATAGAAGTTGATAATACTGAATAAGCAAGTGTTATCTAAATATAAATTTAAGCAGCTCTTGGCTTCCTTTTAGCTGACAGACTTTCAGTTGCCGTGACTTGCTGCTGCCTTTCCGTTTTTTTTTATAAAGAGTCTTTAAACAATAAACAGCATGGTTCAAATATTAACTTACGATGGTAGATTAGCAACATAATTTGTGAACCGTGAAGAAGTACATTGATTCAGTTACACATTTCACTGCTTCAGGATTTTGTTAATGATGCAAACTGTTCTCAGGTTCATGACCCGGCCCCTCTTCACTGCCCTGATGAAGAATCAATAAGATCAGGCAGCCAGAGATTTTTTTTTTAAAAAAATATTTATTTATTTTATTTATTTATTTATTTATTTATTTGTACACAAATGACAGCTTCTGGGTGGCTTCACATCAAAGCGATATGCCTACTTGTGTCTGAGCTGTTTCCCCAGGATTCCTGGGTGACCTCCGGATTCACTCACGCTTTTTGGATGGTCACGAGGAGGAGCTGGTGTCTTGCCAACTTCCTCTGAGGGAGCAAGACTGGGGTTTTTTTCCTGGTGTTTGTTTCTGCCTGCCTGCCTGCCTGTCTAACTACCTCTCTAGCAGTCTATCTGGACTCTTAACGCCCAGAATTCCTCATGCAGATTTCTCAGACTTCCAACCCACAGGAAATCACTTACATGCCATTCATACGGACCAAGGATTACCTCAAGCCTTGCTTCCTGTTCAGAAAGGAAATGCCCCTGTGCTTTCTGGGTGGCCCAGGTCTTTGTGAGAAGCATAGCTCTTTAGGAGGGACCGTCTGTAGCACCTAATGGACAACGAGACTCTCTTTCCCACAAAGACCTGGGCCTCTCAGGAAGCACCGGGGCAGCTTCCTTTCGGAGTCCCCAAAAGTTCAAACAACAGATCCCTAGCTTTCGACAGAAAAAAAGGATTTCCAGTCATGCCTTAAGGGCGTCACATAAGTATTTGATTTCTATACAGCCCATCTGTATAGAGATGGGCGATGGCCTCTGTTGCCCTCGGCCGATCGAAAGGGAGTCGGAGGCGAGCGCCGTTTCGAACGGATGGACGATGGCCTCCGTTGCCCTCGGCCGATCGAAAGGGAGTCGGGTTCAGATCCCCGAATCCGGAGTGGCGGAGATGGGCGCCGCAAAGTGTCCAGTGCGGTAACGCGACCGATCCCAGAGAAGCCGATGGGAGCCTTTCTTTTGTCTAATTGATCCGCTAGCCCGATCCCGGAGAAGCCGATGGGAGCCCCGGGGAGAGTTCTGTTATCACTTCTCGTGCCTTTCTTTTGTCTAATTGATCCGCTAGCAAAACGGGACTGAAGTATCTGCCTATCTGTCATTCTCTCCAGTACAGTGTGAGTGTGAGAGAGGGGCTTTGGCCCTCCAGATGTTATTCAACTCCAGTTCCCATCAGTCACGCAGCTGGTGCAGCCGGTGGTAAGGAAACGCTGGAGTCGGAATCCAAGAATAACAGAATGCCCTGCCCTAATAGGATGATCACCCTTTTACTGCCAGACGTTATTTCTCAAGTATGAATATTGTGCCAGAGTGCCACCGCATCATTCAATAACTCCAGTGTAGAAATATTAAAAGGAAATTGCCAGTTTAAGGGGTGCTGGAGGCTGCCTGCGGTTTTTACACGGCCTTGTAAAATACCTTTGCCAGACAGCAGTTAATGCAGTAACACTGAAGTTCAAATTCAGGGCTCGAGGGGGGCATATCGCCTCTCCCGGTGTGACATTAATCTCCGTACCTTGGCACCAGTTTTAAAAAAATAAAAACTCTTTAGCCCAGAGAAAGCCCTTCGGACAGAAAAGAAAAAACAAAAAACCTTGGGAGAAAATGCCGAACGACGGAGGCAAAGTTTGCCTTTTCATCTTCAGTAGTTTACTTTCTTGATCCAAGAGGAGAAAAAAAATCTGAAGTAATTTTCTTGTGTTTAGCTTGTCCTTAGCAGGTAGTGCTGACCTTTAAGTTTTTACTTTCCTGTCAAAGTATGTTGAAGGCTTTAAAAGTGAAGCTATCACCTTGGGGATTTGTAAGGATGACTGACACTTACCACTTCACCTTAGACGCGGCGGCGCAGAGCGTATGCAGCCGCGTCGTACCTCCAGGGAAGCTGTTTGATTTTTTCTTCACTTCCACTTCACTGGAAATGGATTGGATTTTTTTTCTCTTCAGAGGAGAGTTTTGGTGGCATTAGATTTTAATCAAGTCCCTTGTTCGCAGTCCCTCCAAGCCCGCACGAGGATGATGAGTAGATGGGGCCCGGGGTGAATGTGCTATGTACGTGGTTTGTCGAATCCCTGGAACTTCAAGGATCTTGGAGAGGCTGCCTGCTGTCGCTCGACAACCCTTGAAATTGTTTTCCTGGTTTGCGAGACCGTTATATAAGCCTTCTTGCTTTACTTTGTCAGTGGGATTCGGGGCTCAAAAGAGGAAAGAGTTGAATCTCAAGCTATGTTGGAGAACGCAGAAACAAGAAAAAGGAAGGGGTAAAGTAGGGTCCTTTTGAAACATTTGTTTGAAATGTGGCGATGGAGGAGAGAGCCTTGCAGATATTCGGGACGTCCAGAAGGACAAACAAGTGAATTCTACCTTGAATCAAGCCTGAACCTGTCTCTGGAGGCAAAAATTTTGAAATGGAGGTTGTCCTACTTCAGGCACACAATGAGAAGACAGGATTCTCTGGGAAAGACAATAACGCTGGGAAAAATCGAAGGCAGAAGGAAAGGAGACCAAATATGAGATGGGCTGACTCTCTATAGGAAGCCACAAGCTTGGCTCTACAAGAGCTGAGCAGGCCAGCTGAGGACAGGACGTTTTGGAGCGTGCTCATTCATAGGGCCACCATCGGTCAGAGGCGACTTAGCAGCCCATAACAACAAGAACAAAGTAGGGTAGTGGCTGGAGCAACTAGACCTTTGGCAGGGGTGATGTGTTCCCTCTACCTTGGCAGTCTATGGGGTGAAGAGGAAGGGAGAGAAGGTGTGCAGGGAAGCAGGAGTGAAGAAGCACCTGAAAGAGATAACAGAGA